ATATGAATGTTCATAGATTGAGTAATCATATATGATTATGGTGGTTAGTGACAGAGGAGGTGTTGTTGCAAAGGTGGCGGTGGTATAGGTGAAAGAGGTAGCAGTGGTGGGGAAGGTGGTAGGGGAAAAAGGAATAGACGACATTGAATAATCATTTATGATTATAAGTCTCCCGCAGTACCGGTACTCTAGAGTGTTAGAGTGAGAAATGAAAAATATGTGGCTGAGGTTGAATATCGAGATCTCTATTTTTTACGAAATCTCAACGAAACCTCTATATATATATATATATATATATATATATATATATATATATTATATGTGGATGATAGGGCCCTTGTGTTTCAAGAGTATGGCTATGGGGCTCTCTTTTAGGCCTGTGACTAGTCGAAACTTGAAATAAGGAGCACGCCGTAACAATGGCATGTATTCCTACACAATACCTACGCCTCAAAAAGATAACATGAAAATTTGAATTTAATAGCTATTTATCTTCTGTTAGGCTTTGGCACCTACAGAATACCTACGCATCCTACTACCTACAGAATACCTACGCCTTAAAAAAATTCATCCAGCTCTTATAAAAACATCCTCCCGCTCGTACCCCTCAAAAAAAGTTCATCCCGCTCTCATAAAAACATCCTCCCGCCTGTATCCGTCATATCCCTTTTTTGCCCTAACACAAAAACGTCCCTTCTCCAATCGACTTTCTCCAATCGACTTCACACCGGCACCTGCTCCAATCGATTTCAGCGTTGTCGTCCATACCTCCGGCTACATCCGTCGAGTTCTCCACTACCTCCGGCCACCTCAGCGCCTCCTTCTTCACGAAGAACTCGACTTCACAGCAGGTATTTTCCCCCTTTTTTATTTCGTTTGCAAACCAGAAATCGATGGTTTTATTCCTTTTAAAATATGAAATCGATGGTTTTTCCCTTGCAAATCAAAAATCGATTTCCCCTTTTTATATTTGAAATCGATGTGCTCTTATCTTGGTTGCGATTCAGAGCAATGTTTTTTTCCTGATTTCTCTTGCTGATTTGATGATTCCTCTAGATTTCTCTAGGTTTCTGAATTCTGAGTTTCGATTAGTGATGTTACTGATGTGGGAAGAGGAGGACGACAAGTACCACTCAGCCTGAGGTAATTTCCGAATTCTGATTTGAGAATCATGCTTTCATTTTTTGATTCTGAATTCGGATATAGTGATATTCTTATGTGGGTTATAATTAACTGATTAGTGAATTCACTAATTTGTGGGTTCCAATTAGTTATTTTCTTATTTCAGTAGTTATTTCCTATTCGATTAATGATTTTAGGTTTTTTGCACACCTGTTTGCTTGATTTTTTTTGAATTGGTCCTACCGTACTCATGCTTGTTGATTTAAGGGAGTAGATAATAAAAAATATTTTCACTTTTCACTCTTTAAAATTGCTGCCAGTGGCCTACTTTGCTTTTGACCATTAAAGTTTGATAGGTTATAATTCTCTTGAACATAGTTCCGTTAAGAATATTTGTTTTGAATACATGTCCTTAATAACAACGTGTATTTGTTTGGTTTTTATTTTTCAGTTTCTAGCTAATCAGCTCTTTTCATTTGTCATCAAGAAGTGGGGATGTTGGGGTCCTTTTGGTTATCTTACATGTATAAGTTGAAATTGTCAAATATAGGGGCATTATTACTCATCTCGCCGGGGCATGAAAAAGTAATGGAACCGCCTTGGCGACAACAAGTGTCAAACATGCAACAAGCTATAATGTGAACTACAATGCTATAATGTGAACTACAATGCTATAATGGATCAAAGGCAAAGTCAAATGGACTTACAAATGGAACACATGCGAAATGGCATGGAATTGAAATTGCAACGACAATTGGTGGCCTGTATGAGACAACTCGACCAGTCCGGTAATCCACCATGTAGTTCTCATTTTTTGTCATGACATTGTAATGGTATTTTGAGTATGTGAATGTATGAATGTTATGTTATTGACTATTTTAATGTTAATGGATGTAATCATATTTGACTATTATTATAATTATGTTTGTGGTTTTTTTTGCATTAGTTTTGAGCAGAAAATTTGGATATGTTTAAAATTATAAATTTAACATAGCAACGAATTTTTGTCGGAATTGTATTCAATAAAAATTGGCAAAAAAATCATAAAAAATTTGTAGGAAATAAATATTCTGTAGGTATTCTGTAGGAAATAAAATACAATAAAGTTTGTAGGTATTCTGTAGGAAAAACAGTTGGTAGATATTTTGTAGGAAAATTAGTTGGTAAGTATTCTGTAGGAAACAAAGTTGGTAGGTATTCTGTAGGAAAATAATCTGTAGGTACTTTGTAGGTGTTCCATAGCAAATAAACCCGTAGGTACTCCGTAGGAACTTTGTAGTAAACGTGTTCCGAAGGTAAATTTGTAACAGAATATTCCGTAGGAAATGCGTAGGAAAGTTTGTAGGTAATTTGTAGGAAAAAATTACCCACGAGGGTTTTTCCTACAATCCGTTTTTTGTAGGAATTCTGTAGGTAACGGCTTTTTCCTACGGATTCCCTACGTAGGTAATTCCCTAGTTTTCTAGTGCTGATTTTAGAGTCGAAAAATCACTTTCTAAATGGAGTTATGAACAATTTTGCTATTTTTTCTATAATTTTTGGGTTTTGTTTTTGGCCCATGGACCTTTAGGGTTTCTGCTTCTTATTTATCTGTTGCTAATGTAATTTGCACGGGCGATGATCAATTTTATGAACTTTCAATTTTTCTCCAAAAATCCTATGTTGACCCAGATTTTGAAGCCAATTTCAAGGTAGTCGTACCAATGTGGTTTTGAATGGATTGTTCGAGTATTCTATCAGAATTAACATGTTCAATCTTGTTTATCTTTGTTTGTTTTTTTGTACGCTGCATCAATATGTTTCAACTTGTTGAACCTCCTCCACAACTACGTACCACAACACTCGTTACCACAACCTTTGCCATCTCTATCACCATCATCACCTCCACATCCACCACCAAAACAAACGTAATTATTATTCATAAGTGGGTCTAAGCCCTTTAAAGCGTTTTCAAATCATTAAGAAAAGAAAAAACGAAGTTAGTCTCGGGCTGTCAGCCATTTTACAACTGCTGGTAGCTTGTTTGCTAAAACGTGTTCGTCTAGAATTTATTGGCGTTAAGACGAAAACTGCCCCAACTATTTTCCTCTCGTGTATCAACACTTGTAATGTGTCGATAAATAAACAATAAAAAATATATATATGTCTCAGATAGAAGAAAACTATCTCATTGTTTTGCGGGCCAAAGAATCTTTTTCATTTGATACGAAACACAGAAAAGGACGATCACATTTAAACATGAGTTTTTTTATACATACAATCCAATACACATACACACACAAGGACTCTCTGAAACCAGATTGTGTTAATTTCTAGCAATGGAATTACAGATTTTGATAACATTATTGTTGTTCTTGTTGTTAGTTTTATTTCCTATCTTTTTCCTTTTTCGAGGTAAGAAATATCCGGATCGACTCCCACCCGGTTCTTTGGGATTACCAGTAATAGGGCAAAGCCTCGGCCTATTGAAGGCATTGAAAGCTGATAAGGTCGATAAATGGTTTCAAGAAGGAATAACAAAACACGGGCCTATTTGGAAAGCCAGTCTGTTTGGATATCCGACAGTTGTTTTACATGGTCCAACTGCAAATAAGTTCATCTACACCTGTGATGGGAACATACTCACCAACACACAACCACCATCAATTAGTAGAATCTTGGGTTCAAAAAATATCATCGAGTTGGCTGGCCATGATCATAAACGAGTTAGAGCGGCTCTCACTTCGTTTCTAAAGCTTGAAGTGTTGAAGCAATATGCTGCAAAAGTCGATGAAGAAATCCAACACCACCTTCAAACGCATTGGCATGGTCAACATGAGGTTCAGGTATACGAAATACTAAATTTCTTCGTCCTAAGATAATTGTATTTTTTTAGCATATTCTTGTTCATGTTAATCCAACATAATTTAAATATAGACATGTTTGTGCTGGAAAGTCACCTGCACAGGATCAAAACAAACTCTCTAAGTCTTCATAGCAACGTGGATTAAATCCAACATGACATGACTATGTCTTTTGCTACAAGTTTTGACTCCACTGACCCATAACATAGCCGGACTCGACCCATCAAGATTACCACACAATTTGTAAATGCTATGTACTCGACCAATTACTATTCTGAATTCGAACTATAATATATAACTTTAGGCAAAATGGATACAATGTTCACTAAAAGTGCATGTGAAACCCGTTGATAAGTGATGAAAATTCTTAAACTTATATTAGTTACATTATTTTCGTTTTATTGATGCACATTTGGTTGTGTGTATGAAACTTATTATGTAAGAGTCAGCTTGGATAATCAAATTTGTACCTTATGTAATTAATATTAATATGAGCTATATTAATTTCATTATTTTTGTTTTATTCATGAACAGTTTCATAGTACGAGTGTGTGGATGTGTGTTATGAAACTTATTATGTAGGAGTCAGTTTGGAAGTCATTTTGGATATTCAATTTCATACCTTGTTTAAAATATGTTTCATGCACCACCTTTCTCATAGTTAATAATTTTATTAGGAAGAAACAATAATTTTTGAATTTATAGATAACTAGTTTAAAGAAAGACTACTTAAAAGAATATTATTATAGTTGAAATGTCATGTTTTAAATCTAAAATTTTCAACAATGTATCTTGTTTTGATCATTTAATCTATTTTTTAACATTATTTGGTACAACATTGTAGGTGCAACCCTTAATTAAGACATTAACCTTCAACATCATTTGCTCGCTTCTCTTTGGGATTGAAAGAGGGCCTAAAAGAGATAAACTCCTACCACATTTCCAGCACATGATTGAAGGTGTGTTAGCAATTCCAATTAATCTGCCGTTCACTCAATTCAGTCGTGGGATTATAGCAAGAACGAAACTAGTACCAATGCTTATAGATATTATACGTGAGAAAAGGGAAGCACTTCAAGAACAAAAACAAGCTAACCCTCTCGACAAAGATCTTATCACTTCGTTGATTAGCATTCACGATGATGATGGATCACCAACGATGTCTGATGAGGAGATCATCGACAACATCATCGTCGTGATGGTTGCAGGATATGATACAACCTCAGTTCTCCTCACGTTTTTGGTTAAACTTTTGGCTAACAATGAATCGGTCTACTCAGCCATAGTTTGTGGTAAAGCATCTTATCCAATTTCTATTGTAATCATTATAATAATATGTTAAAATGTACGTGTTTTTGTCATTAAATTGCCCTAACACCAATAGACAAAAGATCCCACCTCATGTAAATTGTAATTATGTTGAACTGAATGAGTTCACAAAACTGAATTTTTAGAACAAGAAGAAATTGCTAAAAGTAAAGCACCAGGAGAAGCATTGGCATGGGAAGACCTTACCAAGATGAAGTACTCATGGAGAGTAGCATCTGAGATGCTAAGGATAAATCCTCCTGTGGCTTTGGCCTTCCGAAGAGCGATGCAAGATATTGAGTATGGAGGATTCATAATTCCTAAAGGATGGCAAGTACGTCACATAAACGATCAACCAATAAAGACTTGGATACAAAATATCATAATAGCTTAAATTAACGTTGATTTGGTTTTGTGTTTTTCCAGGTGTTGTTGTCTTCGTCCATGACACACATGGACAATGACATCTTCCAAAACCCGACCTTGTTTGATCCAACTCGTTTTGAGAAGCATTCACCACAGCCACCATCTTTTAGTTTTGTAGCATTTGGAGCAGGGCCAAGGATGTGTCCCGGTATAGAGCTAGCGAAAATGGAAACCTTAGCTATGATTCATCGCTTGGTGACACAGTTCACGTGGGAGCTTCTTAAGGAAGACGAATGCTTTGTGAGAAATCCAATGCCAGAATTCAATCAAGGATTGTTCGTTAGGATCACACCCATAAAAGCAACTTTTATGTCATCTAAACCATCATTGTAGGCAAGATTTAGGCAAATAGCTTCTTAAGGTCATCAAAATTCATTTAATTCTATAAAGTTTAATGGAATGAATGCCAACTTGGTATCATGTTATGGTTGATTTTAATTCAATATTGATATTCTGTTATAGTTGATTTTAATCCATTGAATGTAAACTATGAATGTCAACCATCTATTTCACCTAATTCGACCATTCTACTAAATCTTGTGTAGCTGATGCTCCACAATTGTCCAAACCCATATGTAGTGAGCAAAACTTGCAATATTTGCGAGTCCATGAACTCATTTGTTAATATTTTAACATAGAAAATGACATTAAAATTATTTAAAAAAATGACAAATAAAAGAAGTTGAAGAAGATGTAATATGGCAAAATGTGTCCCTAAGAAATTAGTGCGCAAAACATGTAAACAAGTATAGATGAATAAGTAACTATTTGATTTATAGTATTTGCAAATAGGAAAAAAAAACTCATAAAGTGAAATCTAACTTATCCATTTTTAATATTGACAAATTAAATGAACCGATGATCACTTGGTTATTGATATGTTTGAGGTTTAAGATAAGACAAAATTACAAAAAATAGTGGGTGTTTGATAAAATTATATGGTTTTGATTAAAAAAGTTTTGATAGTCTATTGTTTTTGCTTATTATCCACTTAAAAAAGATAATTATATCCCTCATATTTGTTTTTTATTTTTTATTTTTTGTATTCATTTTAATAATTTTAAGTAATTAAAAATTAAAGAATCTCTCTCTCTCTCTCTCTCGAACTTTCCACCAGCACCACTAGACACAACCCATCTATTCGTACATCAAGGAAAGAGCGGCGACGACTTCGTTCTGCACCATAGCTTCGGTGGAAGGAAGGGACAGTGGTGGCGATGGAGAAGTTGACAAGGTCTCCTTCTCAGATCTAAAAACCCAGGTCTCGTACTCTCGTCAGCATCAATACCAGAGCTTAGTTTTACTTCACACTATCAAAGAACACATTCATATTTCATACCAGTAATCCAACCTCTAGAGTAGCAATTTCAGTTGAATTTCTCTCAAACCCAGTTCCATATCAGTAATCTTAAGCATATATCTTCTTCTTCTTTGCATCTATGTCTACAATCAACATAATTAGAGGAAAAAGACGAAGACGAAGAAGCATCATCCAATTGCTGGAACCATGTTCAATCAGCTTCTTAACTTCAACAGATTGAATGATTACATGACTGACCTTGCTAAAAAACACAAAACTTCTCGATTGATTAAAAACCAAAGATCGGAGATGTATCCAACGTTGTTACATTTCTTCAACAATCTTTACATTGATTTGTTGTCCCTGAACGCTAATCTATGTTCTGCAAACCCTAGCTCCAATGGACGTTTTATAAAGACACTAGATAATTTAAACTCAAATAAAATTAATTAATCAATTTATACTTATATTTTTCTGTCTAAAACATTTTGATGTCTAAACTACATTTTAATATAATTAAATAGATCGTTTTAGTATTTCCATTATTTCTAAACTATGTTTCAATATCATTATAAATTGAATTTCATATACCATATATCATGTCATTAATCTTTTTTAAGACTTAAGGTATCCGATGAGAAGGAGTTCTTAAGTCAAGTTTTGAGAAGCAAATTTATTTTATATTTATTTTTAGAACAAACAAATGGATTAAAAAGATAAAAAAAACAACAAATTATTAAGAAAAAGACAAACATGAACATACGTCTTTACGATTCACTTTTATTTTTATTTTTTTAGATGATTTATTTTTTGTCAAAAAAATGAATCAAAAATTTTATCCAAAAAAAAAAAAAAGAATCATAGAAAGGTTTTTCCGTTCTATTTTACTTAAGAACTCATGTGATTTTATCATTATGATTTAATGATCCAACTAGATTATAGCCCGCGTTAAAGGCGGGAACGCATAAAAAAACATATAATTGTCTATAGATATTGCATAATGATTATAAAAAAAATATGGTTATAGGTATTATTGAAATGTGTAGAAAATACATTCAAAACGATAAATATCTATAATCACTGAAGGACCTCTTTGTAGACAACATTTTTTCTTTTATTAGTTGAATGACCTTCCTCGTCTCATATAGTTATGATATTGTTATATAATTATAAACATTTTAATTAGACGTTCCTTCCATAATAAGGTTACTTAATTTAAACATATATTGACAACCAATATACTGTTTTTTCCACTACATTAAATATTGACAACTATTTCATTTATTCAAATAAAGTCATATAGTATAATTTATAGAATGTTAAATGTTATATGAATTTAATTTTAGTATATCATCAATGAAGATTCTTTTCTAAATCATGATTGGTTTATTTTAAATTGATTATGAATATAACTGCTAGTTTTTATGTTTGTTCTTATTTATTTGGTGTTCGCAAGAACTTTGCATTAGTTTTGGCGCAACTTTGAATAATTTTATTATCTCATCAATGTAATTTGGTATATCTTTCAATTATATGAAATATCAAATAATGACATTTCATTACTATTGTGATAATTTTTGTTTATATATTGTATTTTTACTAATCTTAACGGTCTTATTTTTTTCTAATAACCGTAACGCTTTTACTATTGTACTTTTTACAAATCTCCTAATATCTTATAATTTTTTATCTTACTTTATAATTTTTCATAACCATGTTATTTTCAAGATTGATTGTCTTAATATTTTTTTTTAGTCTATTCAATTTTATATTTCATTGTACAACATCATCGTTTGTATGTATTCTGAAATTTCACTTTAAAAATGCTTAATGTTTACACATTGATATTAATTTTTTTTAATAAACTCGTGTAATAATTATGGAATATATATCTCGTTTTAATTAACATTTACTTCCTTCATTAAATCAAATTCCTCATTAAACGTATATATTTTTGGAAAGTAATAATTATAATGGGGCAGCATTATCTAAGACGTAAATGCTTGATATACTTTTGGAGGAAAAAAAAATCAGGATCATTAAAAAAATTTATATAAAGAAAATACAAATTTAAAATTGGTGAAATTATGGATGAAATTATTGGCGAAAATTATTTTGGAGGGAGTTGTATTTTGTAAGGTATAATAATATTACAAAATTCGAAATATGCATATTTGTTGTGTAAATTTATAAATTTTATTGGTACCATATAAAGATAAAAAGTATGTTGGTATGATATAGAAAAACATAATAATTTCAATGATATTTTAAAACCATGCCAAAATTAATCGGATTCTTATGACATAAAAATTAAAAAAAAATCATAATCATCTCTAATATATAAAAGTAACATTTTCGTAATTAATGTCAGTTCCTAAGATAGTTAAATTCTGTTTTGTTAAAGGTATGTAATATCTTTTCCTGTTTATTTGAAAAACTTCAGAAAAGTAGTTAATTGATTTCATGTTATTTGTGACAAAGAAAATCGAAATATATGAATACATATATTTGATATAGGAACAAAAAATAATTGAAAAAAATATAAAAAACAAAAGAATGTACTGACCTTCTAGTGCACAAGAGCGAATGTTTGAAGCAAAGAATGATGATGGAAGTTATAAGCAATACGAATGATGTTCTTGGAGAAGGTTTGAAGAAAAGAAATGATTGAAAATAAGTGTGAGCCGCAGATTCAAGGGATGAATTGTATATGTATGTGATAATTTGAATATGATTTTTTGGTATTAATGATTTCCTAATAAAAATAGATTTTATATTAATGGTTACTAATATAAACAGATTTATATTAATGGTTGATATTAATGCTTTGATTGAAATGGTTTGTTAGTTGTGATTGTTTGAAAACTAAAAGACTTGAATAACTAAAAAGCTTGCAATTAAGCAACATGATGAGAAGCTCAAATATTGGAGAGAATTGGTTAACCAATGCAATTCAACACAATGAACATTTGTGTGTTTATCATTAGGATTCAACATGAAGATTATCATTCATCCCAAATTGGTTATAGCAATCATGAAGCATGATATGCCAAGATTCCTCATAGGTAGTATGGAGGTTGGGGAAGCCCACAACACACCTTCTTAATCAAAATCAAAGATCCAATTGAAGCAATTGAACCCAAGAAGTTGATTAGCCTTAAGAATGAAGGAATCCCCAATTCCTAGAGGATGTCAATGCTTACACATCCATAAAGGAGTTATGATTCATAAGCTAGAGATGATTTCTACCATCATAAAGCCCTTGTTCTAAGTAAATTCAATGATTCAATGCTAAACCAAAGAAATAAACCAACAATTGCTTATTCAAGTACCAAGCTCATGATCAAAGCATTAAACAAGCATAGGAAATATGAACTAGAATCATAGACATAAGATAAATGATAAATAAACATGAATCCTTCAAAAACCCACAAACATTCAAAGGTTTTAGCCAAGGCTAACCAAAATAGAGAAATTAGCCACTCATGGCAATAGAATAACAATCACAAAAGTCTAATTGCATAAAGAAACTACCAATAACTTGGAAAGATGAAAAGAAATGAGTCTCAAGCTCCAAAATCGCCTTCTTCTGGTCTCCAATGGTGTAAAATCCAAGTGATAGCTGATAGATCCAATCCCCCAAGGTAATGGTAAGCCAAATGACCCAAATGCCCAAAACTGGGCAGTTGCGCAGATACCCGCGCGACAGAGATTCCACCCGCACAAGTGCTGCTGGAATGCTATTGGCTCATTTTTCATCCACTAACCATCCCACTACCAAAGATTCCCTTGGTCCCCTCCATATCCCACATGATTCAAATTAACCAATCATCTTTTTGCTTCAAATATGGATGCTCCATGCCCAAAATAACAATCCATGATCCATCTTCACAAACCCACTTCATCCAAGTCTTTAGCCTTTTTAAGCCCAAATCTCCTTTAATGGATCCGCAAAGCCCAATAATGCATCGGAAGCCCACAAAGCCCATTTCCAAGCTAATCCATAACCGCAACAAGCTCCAAAACCCTACAA